TCAGGAGCTTCTCAACTTTAATTCCCACATATCACATCTAGACGAACAACTCCCCATGTTAAAACCTTGTACAACCTATAACAAAGAAATAATCACATGCCTCAAGCATATGAAAAACAACAAAGTTAGGGGTCCAGACGATATTCCAATAGAAAGCCTTAAAGCACTAGGAGATGATGGAATACATCTCCTCACTACTGTGCAATAAAATACTTGGAAATGAAGAGGTTCCCCAAAAATGGAGGCAGAGCTATCTAGTTCCTATCTTCAAAAATAAAGGGGATCCACACAATTGTCAAAATTACAGGGGCATAAAACTAATGTCACACTGTCTAAAACTATACGAAAAAATAATAGAAAAAAGATTAAGAGACATAATCGAAATAGGAGAGACTCAGTTTGGCTTTATGTCTGGAAGATCATCAACTGATGCTATCCACGCAATTAGGCAAATGAGTGAAAAATACAGGGAAAAGAACAGAAAGCTATACATGGTCTTTCTCGATCTAGAAAAGGCCTTCGATAGAATCCCAAGAAAACTTATCTGGTGGGCGCTACGCCACAAAAAGGTTCCCGAAAAATATATAAGAATAATACAGGATATGTATATGGGCCATACAACAATGGTCCGTAGCACAACAGGTACTTCAGCAGGCTTCACAATAGCCGAAGGAGTTCATCAAGGGTCGGCTCTCAGCCTACTTCTCTTCATTACAGTAATAGATGTATTAGCACAGTCTATACCTCAAACAGTCCCGTGAAATATGATATTTTTAGATGATATTTTGATACTTGCCGATTCCAAGGATGAAATGAAAGAAAGATTAGTGAGTTGGATAAATATCCTAGAAAAGCACGGACTAAAAGTAAATAGAGAAAAGACGGAGTATATGGTGATAGGAGGAGATGAAACAGAAAGTATTAATATAAATGAATGGCAGATATCGGCAATTGAAAGCTGCAAATATTTGGGACTATACAATCAAACGGCACAATAGAAAAAGAGATAAAGAGTAAAATTAATCAAGGGTGGTTTAAGTGGAGATCTTTATCTGGAGTGCTATTTGACAACCACACAAATTAAAGGAAAAAATTTACACTTCCATAGCACAACCAACTATTCTATATAGTTCGGAAACATAGCCAACCAAAGAATCAGACGAGATAAGTCTACAAACTATGGAGATGAGAGTGCTGAGGATGATTGCTGGGGTAACAAGAAAGGATAAAGTGCGCAGTACAAGAATACTATGTAGTTTAAAGGTAGTGCCCATTAAGACTAAGTTAATGGTAAACAGACTTAGGTGGTATGGGCATACAATGAGAAGGCCTATGAACTACATAAGAAATAAGGTTGAGAGTTTGAAAGTGATGGGCAAACGTAAAAGAGGAAGGCCAAAACTTCAATGGGGCCATAAAGTTAGAGCCAATATAAAGAAGTATAAATTAGATAAAAGAGATTGTATGAATAACATAAAGTGGAGAGAGATGTTGAAGGAGCTTACCACCAGAAAAGGTGAAAGCTAAAGAGAGAAATAAAAGAAGGATGATAAAGCTAAAGAGAGAAATAAAAGAAGGATGATAAAGCTAAAGAGAGAAATAAAAGAAGGATGATAAAGCTAGAAGATTAACTGGAAATAAGTTTAGGCTTTGCCTTACAACACGGTTTAAAAAGTATTAGTATTCGTTTGATATCGTAATAAATATAAAATACCTTTTAATTTTAGTATTTAAAATTTTGTTAATATTCAAATAAGAAATACAAATACATAAAGCTATTTATATTTAGTATATTAAATACAAGTATTCGCGTTACAACTAGTTTTGTTAATCGCGATTTGAGCCGATTTTTAAAAACGGCTAACTCAATATTTTAGCCAGAAAAATCTTGTCCAAGCCTCGAGATTTTGTTAGTAGATGTTCAAACCTTTTCCCCACTTATGAGCAAAATCTTAAGGCTTGCTTAATATTTTTCCTATAAAAATATTTAGTTAGCTGTTTTTAAAAATCGGCTCAAAATGAGCCGTTTAACAACACTAGTTACAACCCAACCTTGACTATACTATTATAGGACAGAAATAGTGGCCCGTTAAAAAATTCAAATGTGATAAAGGAAACAGATTATTAAAAAATTAGGATCAATATTTTTTATTTTCAAATGAATAAAAATAAGAAAGTTTTTTTAAAATTGAAAACCAACGTAAAACACAAACGCGTTCATCAAAAAAGGAACGCGTTTACATTCAAAGTTCGTTAAAAATAAAAGGAACGCAGTTCATAATTTTTTTAAAAAAAAAACGAAGTCTAAATTTTTTTCCACTGATTTTGATTCTGGATACAAGACATTAGTTATTACTCTATTGTCCTTCTTGGTTTTTAAATCGCATTTGTTAACAATCGTTATTTTAGAATTCTGAAATGACAATAAACGATCCCCGCGTTATATAGATATAGATAATAGTTTCAAAAATCAACCTTGTGATGTGATAGAAACCTCATTTTAATTAATTTTATTACTATGAGGATCTAACCAACTCATATTATATTAAAGCTTCTTACACGGCAATTTTTATTTATAATCTATAATATATAAAATGTCACAAAAATAGCTTACGCTCTCATGTCCCACTTTTCATGTCCCACTTTATAATATATATTCCAAAAATCGTTAATTTTGAAAAGTGCCAGTGGCCCAATCGGGCAAGAACTTCGCTGGATTATTGGACTTGGGTTCGAATCCCGACAAATGTTTTTTTTCTTAATCTGGTAAAATATTTTTTTTTTTAATCTGACAAAATTAATCAAATAGATACGATTCAAAGAGTACGAGATTTATTCAAATACTTTTTTATTTCTTGAATTTATGTATAATTTAAAATTTAAACCATTATATGGGGAATCAGAATTTTCTCTTTTATTTGATGAGGGATGAATCAGAAATTTTCCTCTCTTATGAGGTGTTATTTAAAAGTTTATATTTATTTAGGGTTATTCTAAAATTTTCCATTATTTTTATAAAATATGTTAATAAAGTATATATTTATAATTTTAATTTATGTGTACAATTAAAAAGTCTTTTAAAATAAATTTTTATTCATTTGTATTTTATAATCTAAAAATTTATTCTTGCAGGTGAGAGTTTTATGTTAAAACCCTTAAGAAGGATCCATTCCACATTGAATTTTATACAACTTTATATCTCTTAATTAGGTAGCATCTCTCTTATCTTTTCTGAAATTGGCCTTTCTACATCCATTCCATAGTTTTGTTTATTTTCTCATAACTTCATAATTTAATTGTAGAATGTATATTTTTCATAACTTATTATAACATTTTTGATTAAATGTATAACTTTTTTGTTTAACTTATATATAATTTGACTATGATTAAAGTTAACCTCCTATTATTTGTTAACTTAGAATATCTTTTTATTTTTTCTATTGTAATTTAATAACAATATCTTAAATTTAAATTTATATTTTGTAACTAAGTAATAAATCATTTGGAAGGGTGGTGGTTTGTTTAAAATTTAAATTAGAATGAACATATTTTTAGCATGGTACTTTAATATGTATTCATGATTTTCATATAAATACCAGGCAGGAGCTAACCAGTAGAATGATAGGTAAATCAGATATTTCCCCTTCATTTGATCTTAATTTTGAAAAATTTTCCCAATAATATAAATGGCAAAAAAAATATATACATATTAGACAGATTTGATTCTTATAATCTCCTACATCACACCTATTTTTCTGGATCCAAGAAAAAAATAAATTATTCTGGGTTTTCCTGGGTTTGGGAAATATTTTTCACAATTAATATGGACTTGGAAGTAGCTTGGGAAGCATTTTTTAAAATTAATATAGTCTTAGATTCCTGAAAATTTTTTAATTTTAAATATGGGTTAGAAATTGGCCTGAAAATTTCTTTTGGAAACATGGCCAGGCCTGATGAAATATTAAGGCCCATGCAACTTTCATATTCTGATTGTATTTTTAAATGCATTGTGACTTTTTATATATTTTATTTCAGTTCTCAACTATCAAAATTATTATGATCTTTTTGAGAAAATTTTCCCAAGTACGTGGACCTGGCTTGTGAATTTTTTTTAATATTAGCATAGGTGTAATATTTAACACAGAATATTTATATGGCCCTCAGGTAAAAGCTAATTTAAATATATTTTTATAAAAATAGTATTCATTTTCAGTCTTAATGGGTTGACCTTTGTCTAAAGTAGGGGTGAGCTGGGTTAAAATAGAATAAAAAATAGATATGGTTTTTAGAGATTTACCTATCTCCTGGGTTGGGAAAAAATTTTGAAAATTACTATGGGTTGGCCAGGCTTGGGAAAATTTTTTTTATAAAATTTTTATAGGTTGGGCTGGGTTTGAAAAATATTTTTATAAAATATATTAGGCTGGGCTTGGGGAAAATTTTTCAAAAATATTATGAGCTAGAATTCTTGAGAATTTTTTCATTATTAACTATGAGTCAGACATTGGCCTAAAAAAAATTTTATGCAGGCCTGGGCTCGGCCTGATCAAAAAACCTAGGCCCATGAAAATCTGATTTTGATTGTATTTTTAACATTATGATTATTTAAATATTTTATTTCATTTCTCAACTACCAAAATTATTATATTCACTGGGCTTGGAAGAATTTTTCAAAATTATTATGGCTTTGTACTTTGCCTGGGAATTTTTTAATATTAAATATTAGGTATAAATGATCAGTAATATTTATCAAATAATATTGCTATTATCAAGTAAAAGCTTTAAATTTAATTTTACAAACCATAGTATTTACACTTAGTTTTAATGATTAAATCTGACATGAAGGGGGGGGGGGATTAAAAGAATAATAATTGGATATTATTTTCAAATAAGAGGTAACAATTATCATAAAAGTAAGAAGAAAATTCTCATTCCCCGTCATTTTTGACGGGCTATCTTTTAGTAATATAATAATATAACAATTTTTTTTTTAAAAAAAGGCAAATAATTGTCGACCCTACATCGCAAGAAGAGCAATTAGCCACTGGGAAAATTTCTATCATACTTTCAGATTCACAGAACGTAATATGGTTTTATAAAACAGGTTATTTAAAAAAAAGAGTAATATATCAAGATGAGTTTCGGGGAAAACCCCCAAGGAAAAATTTCCTACGATGTAAAAAGCCCACGCACTTTTAATTTTTATTTAACAAAATGCTTTCAACATTTTGAGCATAAAACTAGTTATTGATTTTAGTCGCAAACTTCCTAAATATTACTACCATCTATATTATTATCAATAAAAAACCAAAACGTTGCTATAATATAATATAGGAAAAAGAAAGAAAAAATTGATATTTTAAAATACTAATTATATAAAAATAACATTATAAATTAAACACAACTCGTTTATATATATAAAAATCTTTTTTATAATAAAGGCAACTTTCTTCAAAACTTAAAAACACAAAATATCATGCAATATCCTTAAAAAAGATATTTATAAAAGTTGACTTGGAACATCGCGATTTGGGCTGCTCATATAATTTTAAGTGAAGATCCATGATCCCCATTGATTTGTACATTTTTTCCCCTAAAATATTGAAAAATTGTGTCTTGGGGACCTAAGAAGGTATATTTAAAATACGACAGGTCTAAAGAAAATTAAAAATTTGAGAAATAGGCGCAAAAAATGAATGACAGGAAAGGAAAGAAAACAACTCAGTTACCTGCCAGGTTTTATCCCTTTTTCGGTAAAATTAAGCAAAACTTAATAAATATTGTTTAAGCTATACTCCAAATCAGACCTTAGTTCGGATCAAGAGTCAATAAAATTAATAATAGATTGATCTTACTGATTAGCCAGTTTTTTCAATTTCATGGTAATTTTATTTCCAGTTAATTTATTTTCGGAATTTAGTTGTTTTATTGCACAGTAAAAAAAAATTAATGGGGTTTTTCCTGCCGTATTTTTTTTAGATACCTATATAGGTGCCATTTGCACTTCCCGGCTCAAATTTTTTTTAAAAAAATTATTCGCCCCGGCTTGGTTCGGATTCTTATCGGCTCGGCCCTGGTTTTATATTTTTAGAACCGACCGGATTTTTTTTTTAAAAAGTTTTCAGGCCCGACCTGGATTTTTTAAAATATATTTTATTTCTTTTTGCGATTTAAAATAGTTGGAATTATAATATACGGCCCAGCCCGGTCCGGATATTTTTTTAAAAAAATTTTGGGCCCAGTCCTAGTATATTTAAAAAAATTAAAACACGACCCCCGTGTACCCGAGCTTAGAACCGGGCCTGCAGGTCTTTGATTTTTTATTACCATTCAGGGTAGCAATTAATAATTATCCATCTTAATTTTCTTTATATACACTCTTACTTTCAACATAAGAAATATTACCTGTTAGATTTAAATATGGATTAATTTTAATATTGGAGCTCTGCACGAACCAATCCCGAGTCGGATCGAATTCGGACTTTAAATTATTTTATTTTTCCAATAGTTTTATGATCGTTTTAAAGAATATTACCAAATTTTTATATTGCCTTTTCAGTGTCTTAGAATTTTCCTGTCTTAGTTGAAAGGTCTTATTTTTTTAACAGTCTAATAAAACAAAATCGGACTTGGATCCTTGAGGAAAATTATTGAATTCAATCGGTCGGACTTGAAAAATAGGTTCGGTGCGGGGTTCTGAACCATTTTCCGGAATAAAATGAAATTTCAAATATACAAGATAAATTTGCTTTGAAATAAAACAATTGATTATAGTGTATATTTTTCTAAAATTAGTAATTTTTGACCTATTAATGAAAGAAATGTAATTCTGTAAAAAAAATCGCGCTTTTTGCATCTTTATATAATTATATAATTAGGAAAAGGCCTAAATCCATTTTTTAAGGTTTCTTGAACTCTTAACCCCTGTAGACCGAGTCACGTAATAACTTAAAATGGAGAAAGTTTAATAGTTTTGACGAAAAATCGTTTTAGTTTATTTTTTACAGTTAATGCCATGTGTATAATTCATTCTTTTAAAAAAAACAATCATATTTGATCCCTTAGTTACCTTACTTTCGGAAAACTGGGAAAGGTTAGTTGGCAAACAGTTTATTTAAAATGTCGTATATAGAATAGATTGTGTTTTCAAAAAAAAGTTTTTGAAAATTTATGTTATGTAAATTATTAAACCCATTTTTTTTACAGGAAGCACGCCTTTAAATGAAACCACTAGGAAGGAATGTATACAAATGGCAAAGCAACATTTTGAAGCAATGTCCGAAAAATTAGAAAATATGGAGATTTAAAACTAAATTTTCTAAATCATAATTTGTACAATAGATTAATAAAAAAAAATTTGGATTTATTATTGACAATTTTTAAAAAAATAAAAAAATATATGTACACAATTTTACAGAGGTGCTAAAATATTTATAAAACTTTTCTATTTGACATTTATCATCAAATTTAGGCGTGCTCAGTAAGAATATGTGACTTTCCATTGAGTCATTATTAGACAATCTGGGTAAAATAAAAATTTTCTGGCAATGAGAAAGAAAAATTAAATAAAAATTAAAAATAATTACAAAAAAGAATGATAAAAAATAAGAAGATAAAAAAATTGAGAAAAGATAAGAAATATAAAGATTAAAAATAACTTAAAGAGATTGAAAGAGTTAGAAATGTCTAAAAGATAACAATATAAGGAGAAAAAATCATAAAAAGTCAAAATATTATTATGTAGGATGAAAAAAGAGGAAAAAATTGTTAAAAAATAATAGAGAAATGAAGAAAAATAATAGAAAATTTATAAATTATTTTTAAAAAGACAAAAATGAATTATTAAAAATGAGAAAAAAAAATAAATAAGATAAGAAAAAACTTAAAGAAATCGCAAAAAGTTAGAAATAAAATAGGAAGGAATAAAAAAAAATTTAAGGAAAATTGACAATAAATTTTACTTTTTGATTAAACCTTTTCTTTTTTTGTTTGACATTTTTCCTTTTTTGATCGGACCTTTTCCTTTTATGATCGACATCTTTTCCTTTTATGATCGACATCTTTTCCTTTTATGATCGACACCTTTCCTATTTAGATTGGGATTTTTTTTTTGAATAGGAAACCCTGTAAGTGAGGCGGCTGATTATAAAAAAGGGATTACCAAAGTCCAGGCGCTTACGCAGGAATTTGGTCTGGGGGGGGGATAATAAAATTTTTTAAGAAATATTGTTTTTTAAAAATATCAAGCATATATTTATTAGGACTAATAACTATTTCTAATACACAATTTTAAATTTATGTGAATTATAAAAAAATTATATTTAAAGAATCACTTAAATGACCCAAAATAGAAATTTGAATTTTTTGAGCCTTTACACAAAAAGTTTCTTAGGAATAATTGCATTTTATATTTTATATATTTACAATGTAAAATCCAATCTTCGTTGTGATTGAGCTAATTTTTCAATTATCTCATCCTTGCTTGTCGTCAAATGCCTATGAATATTCAAAAGATCCAAACCTTTCAATCTACTTTAAGATGTACTTCTTGGTATGTTTTTTACAGTATTTTAATTTTTTTAAATATACCCTGGCCGGGCCCGAAATTTTTTTAAAAAAATACCCAAGCCGGGCCTAAAAATTTTATTTTTAAAAAAGCCGAGCCGGGCTTGAAATTTTTTTAAAGGGGCCTAAAAATTTTTTAAAAAAAGCCGGACCGGGCCTGATAATTTTAAAAAAAAACCAGGCTGGGCCGTAAAAAATCTTTAAAAAAAATCCGGGCCGTGCCCTGCAAATGGTATATCTGCAGGCCTCTTTTATTCTTCTTAAAAAAGAGAATGTTCTCTCATTAGTTTACTAATGGTAAGAGTTTATAAACCCTTTTAATACATTGGGAATTTATTCTAAAATGTGTTTGAAATAATGCAGAGCATCCATAGCATTTTTTGGGACTATATCAACCATTTTTAATCTTATAAACATAGTTATTCAGCTAGTAAGGCATTATAAGATACTTTAACATCTTCTTAATAAAAATCTAACAAATATTTTTTTTTCTATCACCATCTGAAAAAGGTTGGGAAGGCTTTTGTGGAAGTAATATTTGCAGATTAGTAAGTGCTGCGTGATGAATTAAAAATTCATTTATTTGGGTTATAAATGTATCTGTATTTAAGATATACTCTTCTACTTATCCTATATTAATGTTTTAACGATGAGCTTGCCTTGCTCAAGAAACACGTATAGCTCTGCTTTTGACTCAACAATAAAATATGAAATTCTTCATCAACATTAGCCCTAATTTCCTTGAGTTATGATAAAATGCTCTCCGCTATTCTCATCTTCTTAATCAAGTCAATCAGTGGCCCCTACACTTTTTGAGCGAATGAAGCAGAATACCCCCATGAAAAGTACCCCCTTGAAAAGTATCCCCCCCCTTCGAAAAAATGATAATTATGACACTCATAAATTTCAAAAATAATTTTTATTGCATCAATTTATAATATATAATATAAATAACATGCAAAAAATACAACTTTATAAATATTATTTTAAATTAATAATTTAGATAAATTAGGGGAAGAGAAAGCGAAAGAATTTATAATTTCATCAGTATTTAATTGTTTAAATAAAATTTTTCCCATTGATAATATGGTTAAATTATTGAGAAAAGAATCATTCATGGTACTGCGCAGTCTTGTTTTAATTAATTTAATTTTACTCATGACTTTCGGCAGTACATGAGGTTGTGAGAATGGTTAATAAATATTTATATAAAATTTTTAAATTAGGGAAAGCAGAAAAATTTTAAAGTAAACGATAAGGTAAAATAAATGAATAGTTTTTCCAATCTGAATCGTAAGTCCCTGAATTATCATCATCATCAGAAGAAGCTAAATAATGTATTGGTAAAAATATTTTAATTAAATAACTTTACAATTCTCAGAATCTGACAAATCTTTAGATTCTTGAACCTCTAGGTCATGAGTAATAATTACATTCCCCATTTTGGCCATCTTATAAATATTTCTAAACTTCAACATTTCTTCGAAAATTTTACTTGAATTTAAATTGTAAAATTCACAGATATCCTCGATATCTTCTTTAATAATTGATTTTTCTGCCATTCCCTTTGGCGTAAAAAATGATGTTTGATGTAGAGATTTCATGGAATCATTATTAAATCTTTCGTTAAACTGCATAATAATTAAATCGAGTGCAGCATTAAACACACCTAATCAAAAATGTAGATTTCTCTCCTTCATAAAATCTTGCGCCTTTGAAAAAACATCCAAAAATTCAGTGTTATTATCTATTAGATTAAAAAATAATTAAGACAATAATTTTTATTATACTTCTCAAATTAATCAAGCAATCTTTTGCCAATTGAATTTGATTTATTGCATACCATATATCCTTCGAAATGGTTTGCAATTTTGTACAAGTCAAACTTGTTATCAACAATATTTTATCCAAAACACAAAGTGATAAGATAAAATCAAATTTTTCTATTCTAAAGACTATAGCACTAGCCATAGTGGAAGTGGCAGGATCTTCAGAATCCTTCTGCCCTCAAGGCATCATAAAGTAGAAAAAAATTTACAATAGCTTTATATGAGGATAACCAGCTTCTAAATAAAAAAACATTTTAAATCTAAATAAATAAGGTACTATTACCGAGTGGTATTATTGATGCGTAGAAATCGTTCGATTTTTTCAGATCATTATACTGAAATTTTTTGAGTACCTCATATCTTTTTACACCATTAAAATAGACATAAATCTCATCTAGTATTCCTAGAACATTTCGAAGTTCTTTAATTGATTGGCATAATTGAACAACGATTAAATTTAATCAATGACAATAACACCAAATAAAATCTGCCTTTGGCGCCTCTGCTCTAATCAAGGCTTTCACACCATTGATTCTTCCACTCATGTTTGAGGCGCCATCATAACTTTGCCCAAATAGTTGTTCAAGAGGTAAATTCATCGAGCCAAGTTTGGATATTATATTATGCTTTTTATGGAGACCTGTGGTATTTCCCCTACAATATATGTCAATCAGTCTTTCAACAGGCTTCGGCATCTCACTATTTTCAACATATCTTACTATCAAAGCTATTGCTTCTGATTTCGAAACATCGTATGTGCATGATTGAAAAGCACCTGTTAAATGTAATCTCATTTTGAATTTTTTTTATAACCATATTTTTCATGGTTTCAATGTGAATGTTTATGTTATTATATGATAATAGGTTTGAATATAATTTCGTTTTTAATCCTTTTTTCTTTCTTCATTTTGCTGTATATACATTTTTAGTATAGGTTCAGAATCTGCAATAAACTTAATAAGGGCCATCATATTGACTTCTTGTTGCCTGTTACCCCAGAAGGCTTGGTTACGAGATATTAAATAATCTAAACATCTTATTATAATTCTTATAATAGAACGGTTATTATCTACACATTCTTTCTGAGGTGTTATAAATTTTAATATCGAATTTTAATATCGAATTTTTATTATGAGAAAGCCTTCCATAATCGGCCATCATATGTGCCTGTGAAGATTCATGCAGAATAATATCACGTTTATCTAGACCTTCACATGTCCATTTTTTGCGTGTGGACCACCAAATAAGAGACATGTTAAGCAAAAAACTTTATACATTTTAATACTATAAGTAATCAAATTTCTAGGAATTTTGCTATTGTCAATATTGGTTAATATTTTTAGGCATATTTTAAAATTGGAAAAATAATTTATGACAAGAAATTTCGGATAACAAATTTACTAAACATCGACCAAAATTTCCCTCAATATATTAAATTAAATATTAAGTGGGGGGGGGGGGTCTTATTGTTACATTTATAAACCAGAAATCACATGATCATGATGGATGTAAAAAAAAAGTACCCCCACTCAAATTTACTGAAGCAGTTGCTTCGGACCCCCCCCCCGTTGTAGGGGCCCCTGAAGTCAATGTTATGTTTTTGAAAAGTAATACTTAAAATAGTTGTATAATTAAATAATACATTCTAATGAGAAATAAAATTCGGAATAAGCATTGAATCCAATAATTTTCTTGCTTCTGAGGAAATATTTCTTTCAAGCCATTGTGATATTTCAGTAATAGCAAATAATTGGTCTTCTAACTCCTTAAAAGCTGTTACTGCTTGATGGCAGAGACTCTATCTCGTTGGACAAGGTTGCAATTTCTTTTTCCCTGTTGGACAAGAAGTTTCAGAAATAATAATTATTTGACTAGAAATTTGAAAATGGTAGATAAATATTACGCCACTAAAAATTTGAAAATAATAAGTAAATATTACGCCGGAAAACTTGAAATCGAAATTAATTGATAAAATAACTTAGTAGATAA